GGGGACAGGAGGGGTCAGCGTGCGGGAGGGGACCAGGACAGGGACAGGAACAGCAGGGACAGGGATGGGGACAGGGACACGGTCTGAGAAGGGGCAGGGCCCCTCATGCCCCTCGATCACCTCGTCCGTGTGGTGCAGCCGYGCCGTGTCCTGGCTCTCCTCGTCCTCCGCCACCCCCACAGCGATGCTGCTGCGCCGATCCTCGGGCCGGGCCCCGCCGGGCTGCAGCTCCAGGCTGCTGGGGCGGGACCCTGGTCAGCCCCGGTGAGCCCCGGTCACCTCCCGCTCAGCCTCGGTCAGTTCCCCCGTCAGCCCTGGTCACCCCCTGCTCATCCCCACTCAGCCCGGGTCAGCTCTGGTCTCCCCTCGCTCATCCCCCGGTGAGTCTCAGTCACCCCCTGCTCAGTCCCACTCATCCCCGGTCAGTCCTGGTCAGGCCCGGTCAGTCCCCCGGTCAGCTCTGGTCACTCCCCGGTCAGCCCCGGCTCCGGCCGTTCCTCCAACCCCGCACGGACACAGCCCGGCTCACCTGGCCTCGCCCAGCGGCTCCGAGAGCACCTTGGTGGTGAAGCACTGCCCGAAGGGGTCCTGCAACACCGGGAGGGGGCTGGCACCGGGAACGAGAACTCCGGGACACTGGGATGGGACCAGGACGGGAACTCGGGAACACAGGGAGGGGACCGGCAACAGGAATGGGGATGGGACCGGGAACGGGAGCTCGGGAACACCAGGATGGGAATGGGAACGGGAGCTCGGGAACACCAGGATGGGAATGGGAACGGGAGCTCGGGAACACCAGGATGGGAATGGGAACGGGAGCTCGGGAACACCGGGATGGGAATGGGAACGGGAGCTCGGGAACACCGGGATGGGAATGGGAATGGGAGCTCGGGAACACCGGGATGGGAACGGGAACGGGAGCTCGGGAACACCGGGATGGGAACGGGAGCTCGGGAACACCGGGATGGGAACGAGAACGGGAGCTCCCTGCAGAGCCCCGGGAGGGCAGCAAGCCCCGGGCCACCCAGCGGGCAGGGAACAGGGGACAGGGAAGGGAAATTGCCAGCGGTACAGACGGGGAAGCGGAGTTATTTCAGGAATAATAATGATGATTGCTGGGAAAAACTCTGGGATAGTTAATGATAATAATGATGATGATGATGATAATGATGATAATAATGATAATGATGATAACAGTAAAAATGACCATAATGATGATAGTGATGATAATAATAATTATAATAATGATGATAATGATGATAATGATGATGACAACAAATTTGGGGAATAATCTGGGGCTGGATGAAAGGAGGTGCCAGACACGGGGAGAACAAGCAGCTGAAACATTCCCAGGGTCCTGATGGGAAATGGGGGCAGAGCCCGATCCCAAATCCGCAAAGCCAACCCCAGACCTAGAGAACCCAACCCACACCCACAGAATCCAACCCAGACACAGAATCCCAGACTGGGAATGTTGGGTAGATCCCACACCAGGAATGCCAGGGTGAGTCCCAGACCGGGAATGTTGGCACAGATCCCACACTGGGAACACAGGGAGGGTCCCACACAGGGAATGCCA